GCCTAAAAGAGTAATAAGTCATTTTTTTAAAAAATAGAAATTCAAAATCATCAAGTAGGCCCACACACATCTTCTCATATTCATTTAAGACCTGATTACTTGATTGTCACAAACAAAAAGCAGTGCATACTCGGCAATGACGCTAGGTGATAAATATCTATCATTTAATCATACACATAAACAAACACACTAGTTCATAAACATAATATGATATCATGCACACAAACATAACTTAATAGCACCACATATGTTTCATAATAGTATACATCATTACAACATTTTACATTTCACAATAGTATACATTATTACCAAATTAAGGTATCGTGTTCTTGTTATTTTAGTCACTTGACTTATATTCATTTCATGCGCAAATCCCAATGTGCATGTTTTAACCAAAATAGTCATTGGCCTGAGCAAACACCACGTGACTCTAACCCTTTATACTTATAACATATCTTGCCTCTATTTTGTTCGGGTCAGTTCGAGAGTTCCTATAACACCCTAAATCTGTCCATATACGCAGCCCCTTTTGGACCAAAGTATTAACTTGGTAATCGTAAAAAATTAAAACATTTCAGCAGTTGAAACTTTATTCCATCATCATAAAATATTTAGAAATAGTGACAGAGTTTATCAGATTGTTAATAAATGGTTTTATGTCACAATCAATAATTCATTTTTGAAATAATCATTGAAGAGTTCAACCCCATCACACATCCATCTAACATCTCGTGTCCCATCTGCCGCTAGAACAAAGCACATCATTCTTTATTTTGTTTACCTACGTGTAACAAATAAAACATACTACACGTTCAGTGTTGAAGCCGAGTAAGGATATATAATGCATCGAACATCCACATAAATTGAATCTCAATTCATAATCAAATCATTTGATATCTTGCACATAATATTCAATTTTATTATTCAATATTTATAATATCAATAGTGCTCTTAAATTATTTTTAGTCTAAGGACAAATCATAATAATGTTCTTAAACTATTCTTAGTCTAATGCTAATTTATTTTGATTACCAGGGTCTTAAATTATATTTTAGTTTAATGAAAAAATACAAGAATCGATGACTTATCATATGAGTCTTATAGGTCACGCTCAAACCCGAATAATGGTCTACTCATCGTCGAGTTGGGTGGTACCCTCAAACGAGTGGAAACTCGAGTTTGGTTTATGCATCCCATACGTACGTTTTAACCATAGCCACCAGACATTTTATCCGTAAGGCCTAACTAAATTGGTTACATAAAATCTATCTTAAAGTTTTTCTAGATAGTCTTAAATGTTCATATTCATCATTTAATTCATGATTTTTATTTTTAATCAAAGTTCAATTATCGTAACCAATAACTAATAACAAACCATAGCCACCGAACATTTTATCCGTAAGGCCTAACTAAATTGGTCACATAAAATCTATCTTAAAGTTCTTCTAGATAGCCTTAAATGTTCATATTCATCATTTAATTCAGGATTTTTATTTTTAATCAAAGTTCAATTATCGTAACCAATAACTAATAACAAACCATAGCCACCAGACATTTTATCCGTAATGCCTAACTAAAATTGGTCACATAAAATCTATCGTAAAGTTCTTTTAGATAGCCTTAAATGTTCATATCCATCATTTAATTCAAGATTTTTATTTTTAATCAAAGTTCAATTATCGTAACCAAAAACTAATAACAATCATTATAATATTTAATAACAAACAGCGGCCTGGTATTGAGTGTTAGCACCCTAGTTTATCGTCATGGATCAAATAAGATTCTTCAATTTATCAAAACATCATATCAAATTTAAAAATGATATTCATACTTATTTATAGCTGAATGATATCAAAAATAGGATTTTACAGCTCAAAAATCAGGTTCGTGGGAAAAATCTCCAAGTTCTCAGTATAAGGGTATCGTCACGGTATCTTAGTACCGTCTAGACAGAACAGGGAACCGCCTGGTGTCGGGAGTAAAATATAAAGGGGTACCAAAATATGAGCTCTTTTTCTATGTTTTACTCATATTTAGGATGATTTTTTTCAATGTTTGTTACATATTTTGTTTACATGATATTTTTTTTTAGAAAATTATAAATAATCTAAAACGTTACTTTCAAACATATAAAATTATATTTATAGTTTTTATTATTATATTATCATTCTTTAAATTTTTTTTCATAATTACTGTATTTTTATTTCAAAAATAGACCAATTTGAGAAAATACCAAGTTAGAAAGTGTCATTTGGAAAAGTAGTATAGAGTTTAACGTCTTTTTAATACTATTTTAACGGTCGTTAGTCAGAAGACTGAACTCAACATTATTCTCGATTATCGAATATTATTTCAAGAATTAATTACTTTTAAGGAATAATTTCAGAAAACACATAATTATTGTGTATCGTTCTGAAAATTTACTCAAACTCAAACATTGGGTGTATGATTGGGCTTGGCCCAACTTTCCTCACCACTCCCCTAAACCCTAAATCTCCCTCCACTACTCCTATAAATAAGCTCCATATGCCTCCTTCCTTCACACACACACACACACCTCTCTCTTCTCTCTCTCTCTCCATTTTGGTTAGTTAGGATCCATTTTGGTAAGAGGAGGCAATAAAAAAAGTGAATAAATATGTGAGAATAGGGGGAAAAAGTATCCTATCTCGTCCAACAATAAATTTTCCGATTATTATTTATATGGTCAAATTTTATTTATTTTGTTGGCTTATTTTTGGATTTTATTTGATAATATAATATAATCATGTTACATTTAGTTTTGTAGATCTTTTCATGTAGATCGTAATGTGCAATAGAGATTTTATTTAGAGACGGGAGGGATTATAAATATTGAATTTGGAATGAATGAAAGGTTGGTGAAGATGGGATTTTTTAAATATGTCGCTGGAAGGCTGTTTAAATAGTATTGATTTTCACTTTATGAAGAATTCCAACAAAATTTTCAATTTTTTAGAAAATGTTACATATTGTTAGAGTACGTGCTGCATGTATCATGGATAATGATGCATGAATCATATATAGATAACTCTTATGACAATTTTTTACTCCACCCATTTTGTTCTAGAAATTATTTCGATATGATTGTGTCAAAGTTGTATTGTGTCATTCAACAGTCAATAATTTGTTGAGTGTATAGATTGATGGTTTAAATGTGCATAGAGTTGGATGCCATGGATGGATGAGATATAATTTGAAGTTTAATGTAAGCTTAATAAGTGTAATTGAGTGTATTTTGATATGTTATTTTGATATATAGATTTTTTATATTATAGGTTATAAAATAATTGAGTGTATTTTGGTTTTAGAGAGAGGACAATATAAGAGTAGTTATATCCTCTTGCGATAGACGGGGAAGAAGCTCTCCGGTTGGAAATTGATTGCTCAATACCGTAGAAAAGAAAGAAATGAGATAGATTAATTAAGTTTCGATGCATACAAAAAATGAAAAAAGAATACAAGAAAGATGAAATAACTCACCTTTTCATCATTGTCAATAGCGGGCAATTCCTAATGTGTGCATCTTTCTCTTCTTCGCTTCTGAAACCGTTGTCACACGGTGCCGTGATGGGGTGATTTCAATGACTTAGCCTCTGTTGACCCAATTTGTACTCCTGGCGTTGTCTTGAATTCCTCACAAATTCAACAATGTCATCATTATGCTCTTTTCCCCATTTTCTTCTTTCTAATAGATTATTTAGCTTCTCAATTCTAATTTGGAAAGAGGAACGACATATTTATGATATGGAGTAATTATTTAATTCTTCTAATATTGAAAAAGAGATGCAATCAACAAAAAAATAATTTAATAGAACAAAATATAAAATTTAAAGAATTTTAGTCCACATGTGAAAGTTGATTGAAATAGATTTATTTATTTATTTAATTCAATAAGTGCTCTTTTTATGCCAGTGTCTTTGTTCAGTTTAATTTTTTTGAATCAAATTTGATGAACTTTGAATTTTAATTAAATTAAAATTAAAATATACATTAGTATAAAAATAATTGTATTAGATTTAGTTTGTTCCAAATTTTTAAATTTTTTTATTATACTAATATGCAATAGAAATTGGGAGTAATAGAAGCTTAAAGTTTGTCCAATTTGACTCGAAAAAATTAAACTAGACAAACACACTGGACGGAGGTACTAATGAAATTAAAGTATGTATCGGTCCACACAATACCACTTATTTATTAAAATGATTATTTTATTATTTATAACTTTAATTAATTAAATAAATCTAGGTAATTCCTACGGTACCTTTGGAAAGGAAGGGGCATAGATGCCCCTCCACTCAATTACTGCCAAGTAGATTAATAATTAAAGTAATGAATAAATTATTCCACCTCACTTCAACTTTTTAAAATTGTAACCTGACTTTTGGCCCTGACTTTTTTTTCTACGTAGCGCCCTTCTTTCTTCATCTCCCGGGCCTCTTCTTCATCCCAATCACAGCGCCGCGAAAGAGGATAAGCCGCCGCCGAGTCATCTTGTTCAATTTCCGACCAGATGACTCGGCTCTGCCGCTGCAGTTGTGAATGGATTACCTAGTCGGAAATTGAACAAGATGACTCGGCGACGGCGTCACAACTGCAGCAGCGGCGGCGGAGGCGGTGGCGCTGTGATTGCAATGAAGAAGTGGCCGGGCAGAGTCAATATCTTCTTCCGATTGAAAATTGGTGTTGCGTAAAAAAAAGAGACGGAGTGAGTAATTGTGAAGGATCAAGCTGCGCAGTCAGCTTCCACTTCTAACCACTTAGTGCCACCTGTCATTTCTAACTAATTTCCCTTGTATTTTGGATTTTCTGTTTGATCTGTTATGGTAGTTTATATAGCTAGTTTCTTCCTCCCTGTTAGATCAGATTTTTAGAGACAGATTTGAGCCTCAGTTTAATGGATTTTTCCGGCGTTTGTTTTACAATTTCTTCTTCTCCAAAGAAACTTAACATGGTATCAGAGCCTATCTTCAATGGCGTCTAGATTTCCGATTCTTCTGAAGGCTTGAATTCATATTCTGATTCTTCTACAATTGTTCGAGATATTCATGGCGGCGGAGAATTCTTCCTCGCACGTTCCAATCGACATACAAAGTGAATTGTATCTGCATCCCACTGATTCACCAAATTTTTCGCCGGCATCACAGAAATTGAACGGCGAAAACTTTCCGCAATGGAAAAGATCTGCTGAAATTGCGTTGAGAGCCAGAAACAAGTTAGGATTTGTTGATGGAAGCTCGAAACCACCAGATGTGTCATCTCCTACCTTCGCACAATGGAATCGTTGCAACAATCTGGTAATATTCTGGATTCTACACTCTGTTGAATCTGGAATTGCGAATAGTGTATTATACTGTGAATCTGCCAAGGAAATATGGGAGGATCTTGATGATCGCTTTGGACAAAGCAATGCACCAAAGCTATTTCAGCTGCACAAGGAAATAGTGACTCTGGTTCAAGGTTCTGATTCTGTCTCTGAATATTTCACCAAATTGAAAGGACTTTGGGACACATACTTAACAATGATAGTTCTACCACATTGCAAGTGTGAAGGAGCTGGAAATTACATTAAACTGCTTCAGAATCAACAATTGATGCAATTTCTAATGGGACTTAATGATAGCTTCAAAACTGCTAGAGGTAATATCATTATGATGAAGCATCTTCCTACTTTGAGCCAAGCCTACAAACTGATTGCTCAAGAAGAAACTCAAAGGGATTGCAGCAGCTCTAGTCCATTGAGCAGTGAGTCCAGTGCTTTGGCTTCATTGAATCATGTTTCTGTTGGCTCTAACAAACCTGTGTTTGGAATTACTCCTAGTGGAAGGAAGTCCAAATACTTCTGTCAGCATTGCAAAATCTATGGTCATTCAGTTGAAAGGTTCTTCAAAATCCATGGTTATCCTAAATCAAGTAAAGGATACACTTCTTCAAATGATCAAGGGAGTCAGGCAAGAAAGATTGCTGGGAATGTGGTTTCTGAAACAGAGAATGTCATGACTGGGCAAACTGTCAACACAAATCACGTTCATCATTCTGCTGAACTGCCTATGTCTCTCACCAGTGCTCAATATAATCAACGGATCGCCCTCCTAAATAAAGACAATCTTTCAGACAGAGATGATGGTGGAGTCCCTGGTTTTCTTTCCAGTCACATGGCCTCAAGTGGTCACTTAGCAGGTATTAGTCATTGTTTCTTTTCTTCATATGACAATACACAATGGATCATTGATAGTGGAGCCTCAGATCACATTACCCCACATTTGACTACTTTTTCTTCATTCAAACCCATTTCCAAACCTTGTTCCATCACCATACCCAATGGCCAAAAAGCCAGTGTGCTTCACATTGGAAATGTGAAGTTATCAAATGGAATTATCCTCTCTGATGTCCTTCATGTCCCAGACTTCCATTTTAATCTCATTTTTGTCCAAAAATTGGTTTCACAGCTGTCTTGTTCATTGATCTTTTATCCCTCCCACTGTTTGATTCAGGATCATGTGAAGAAGAATACTTTGCTGGTTGGTAAACAGCATGGGGGTTTATACTTTGTGCAGCAGCTCACACCTCCAGTTTCACATGTCTCTACCACCTCTCCTTTGTCTTGTATGTCTGTTAGTGAGTTGTGGCATTGTAGATTGGGGCATTTGCCATCCAATAGAATAAAACACATTGTTCAGTTGCCTTGTATTGATTCTTCATCTTCATCTGTATGTCATGTTTGTCCTCAAGCACGTATGCATAAACTTCCTTTCATTTCCAGTTCAATAAAAACAACTTGTGTTTTTGAAATGTTGCATGTTGATATTTGGGGACCATATAGAACTGCAACTTATTCTGGTCATAAATTCTTTGTAACCATTGTGGATGATTTCTCAAGAATTACTTATGTTCAACTGCTTTCCCACAAATCTGGTGCTTTCTCAGCCCTAACCAGTTACATTGCTTACATTCAGAAGCAATTTAATGTTCATGTAAAGGTCATTCGTTCAGATAATGGGAAAGAATTTGATGATACCTCAGCCCAAACCTTTTATCAAACCCATGGGATCATCCATCAAACCACTTGTGTTGACACACCTCAACAAAATGGAGTTGTGGAAAGAAAACACAAACACCTTCTTGAAACAGCTCGAGCATTATTCTTTCAGGCCAAACTTCCTACTAAGTATTGGGGAGATTGTGTCTTGACAGCATGTTATCTCATAAACAGATTTCCTCTCTCTGTTCTCAATGATAAAAGTCCATTTGAAATACTTTTCAACACTCCACCAACATATGATCATCTCAAATCCTTTGGGTGTCTCTGTTTTGCTACCACTTTGGCTTCTCACAGAACCAAATTTTCCCCTAGAGCTGTGCCTTGTGTCTTCCTTGGTTATCCATTCCATAAGAAGGCTTACAAACTTCTTAATCTTCAAACCAGACAAGTATTCTACAGCAGAAATGTGAAGTTTCATGAGAATTATTATCCTTTTCATAATCTCTCATGTTCTTCCTCTTCCATTCTTCCTAACTCCCCTCCTATTTCCTCTGATATTTTCTTCCATTCCACACATGATACTGACATTCCATCTTCTCTCACACCTGATGCCATTTTTCCTTCCACTCATATACAGCCAATCTCTTCCTCTTCTCCTGATTCCTCCTTTCCCTCCACCACAACCTGTCCTCCACATTCTTCCACACCTTTCAGTTCCTACCCAACCTAGGGTTTCAACAAGGCTCAGGAAGCCTCCTTCCTACCTTGACCAATACAGCTGTTCTATTCTTCCTTCTAATTCCAAATCTCTAACATCTCATTGGTGCAACTTTGTTCATCTTAATCACCTCTCCCACAATCATCAAGCTTTTCTCACTCACCTTTGTTCCTACACTGAACCTACTTCTTATTCTGAGGCTTCCCAAGATCCTAGGTGGATTGTTGCTATGAATGAAGAAATAATGGCTTTGCAGGCTAATGATACTTGGGAACTTGTTGATCTTCCTCCTGGAAAGAAGGCTATTTCTAGCAAATGGATTTATAAAGTAAAGCTCAAATCTGATGGCAGTTTAGAAAGGTTTAAAGCCAGGCTTGTCATTCAAGGAAATCACCAAAGATATGGGATTGATTTCACTGAAACATTTTCTCCTGTAGTGAAAATGTCTACCATTCGCTGCATTATAGCTCTAGCTGCCTCTAAACATTGGGAGCTCTCTCAACTTCACATCAACAATGCCTTCTTGCATGGGGATTTAACAGATGAAGTCTATATGAAGATTCCCTTGGGGTTCCCCAAACCTTCCACCAAAGTTTGTAGGCTAAAGAAATCTCTCTATGGACTTCGTCAGGCTAGTAGACAATGGTTTCACACTCTCTCTACTGCTTTTTACAGTCAAGGATACATCCAGTCCAAATCTGATCCAAGCTTGTTCATCAAATACTCCAACAATCATATCACCCTTGATGCTGTCTATGTTGATGATATACTTGTGACTGGGTCAGATCCTCAAGCTGTTATTTCCCTCAAACAATTCCTTGATGATCGTTTTACTATTAAGGATCTTGGCCTTGCTCATTACTTTCTTGGTTTTGAACTCAGTTACACTTCAGAAGGGATTGTACTTTCTCAAAGAAAATTTGCCCAGGAACTTCTTGCTGAGCACCACTGTTTACATGACAAACCTGCCAAAACCCATCTTCCTGAGAACTTTAAATTTCAACATGGTACATCTTCTCTTTGTACTGATCCCACTCCATATAGGAGTCTGATAGGCAAGCTTCATTTCCTCACACACACCAGGCCTGATATCTCATATTCAGTCCAGATTTTAAGTCAGTTTATGCAAGCTCCTGAGGTTGATCACATGAAGGGTGCCATTCATCTTCTCCATTACTTACTTGGTACCATAAATCAAGGCATTCTAATGAAAGCTTCTGATCAGTTATCTCTTCATGCCTTTTCTGATTCTGATTGGGCCTCATGTCCCTTCTCCAGAAGATCTGTTACTGGCTATATTGTCTTTCTTGGAGGTTCTCCAATAACATGGAAGTCCAAGAAACAAAGCACTGTTTCCAAATCTTCTTCTGAAGCTGAGTATAGGGCCATGTCTCAGGCTGCTTCAGAGGTTACCTGGTTGCTGCGCTTACTGGAAGAACTAGGAGTCTCAAATCTCAAGCCAATCACCCTTCATTGTGATAATCAATCAGCGCTTCATATTGCCAAGAACCCAGTTTTTCACGAGAGAACCAAACACATTGACATCGATTGTCATTTTACGCGAGAGAAAGTTCTTGAAGGCTTAATTCAGCTCTCCTATCTCCCTCCCTACCACTAATCAACTTGCTGATGTTCTCACCAAGATTCTGCCTGCTGATAAGTTTCAGACTTTGTTGTCCAAGCTGGGCATGGTTTCTCCTACACCCAGCTTGAGGGGGGGTGTGAAGGATCCTGCGCAGTCAGCTTCCACTTCTAACCACTTAGTGCCACCTGTCATTTCTAACTAATTTCCCTTGTATTTTGGATTTTCTATTTGATCTGTTATGGTAGTTTATATAGCTAGTTTCTTCCTCCCTGTTAGATCAGATTTTTAGAGACAGATTTGAGCCTCAATTTAATGGATTTTTCCGGCGTTTGTTTTACAATTTCTTCTTCTCCAAAGAAACTTAACAATAATAGGGCTCCGTCAATGCCGTCCAAGAATGTAAACAGACCAAAAGCAGGGCAATTTTACAATTTTGAAAAGTTGAAGAGAGGTGGACATCACTTTGATTTTTATTCCACTTGGCATTAATTTAGTGGAGGGGCATCCATGCCCCTTCCTTTTCAAAGGAACCGTAGGAATGCCCATAAATCTATTACAATCAACTTTCACACGTAGGCTAAATTTTTTTTTAAATTTTATATTTAGATTTAATAAGCTATTCTTTATTAATTATATATATCTTTATAATATTAAAGGAATTAAATAATTTAATCACAATTGGCTCCATATTTTAAATATTTCATTTCCCTCCCTAAATTAGAACACGGAAGTTAAATTATTTATCAGAAAGAAGGAAAATGAGGTAAAGGGCAGAATGACATTTGTGAGGAATCCAAGACAATGCCAAAATACAAGTTGGATTTGCTTAGGCTCTGTCATTGAAATCATCCACTACAGTGTCGTGCCGCAATGGTTTCAGAAGCAAAGGAGAGAGAGACACATCTTAGGGATTGCCCTCCATTGACGAGAATGAATAAAGTAAGTCTTTTCGTGTGTCTTGTTTTCTTTTTTTCATTGTTTTGTATGCATCAAAACTCAACTAACATGTCTTCTTTCTTTCTTTTCTGAGTATCGAGCTATCAATGCCCATCTCGAGGGCTTCCTCCTTGTCTATCGGGAGATGATGTAGCAATATGCACTCCTCCCCTCTTTTATTTTTTTTTAAATTTATTGCAAGAACAACTTTTTTTCTTAAACTCTTTTTTTCTCTTTCTTTCTTTGTTTTTTTGTAATGTTTTTGCAGGTGCACGTGGAAAGAAATACACTTGTGCATTACAGGCAGACAACCTTAAAGAATAGTTGAAATATTGAAAACATGGTCTATAACTATATATCATTACACTCCTATAGACTTTTACTTTCATTTTGAATGAGAATTTCCTTCCACTAATTGAATAACTTGACTTTCCATGACTATATGCTAATGCTAAATTTTGTGGCATGTAGAGCTACTAGTCAAGAAAGGAAGATGATTAATTTTGCTTCTTGGGCTTTGGGTTGCTATGGGCTATGGTACTTGGAGAGCAAAGAATTGGGTTGTCCATTCCAAGAAGATAAGTGCAGCGGATGCCATGTCTTATATTCGTTTTTATATTAAAAGTTGTGTTATTCTAGGTGGCTTAAAATGGCCACTTAGTTTTGTACTTGCTAGAGAACATTGTACTTGGTTGACTTTTGGTGAATAAATTTTGTGCTTTTGGTATCCGTTGATAATACAAAATTTCTAAGCCCGCAACCCTTCATGAATTTATTTTTGGATATTTCTCAAAAAGCCTCATATTAATAGGGTTAGGTTAACTAGCTTATAATTTATTCTGAAATGATCTTCCCAGTTACTATTTACATGGTTAAATTTTAATCATTTTCTTTATTTATTTGATAAAATTATATAATCATGTATGTCACTTTTTGTTTTGTAGAACTTTTGGTGTAGTTTTAGAATATATATTTTTTATTTTTTAATTTTATACCTATAGTCAAATAATTTGAATTAAAAATAATTTCAACCAAACCTTGTAAACTAAACTGAGAAGATCATTATAGGACAGAAGGAATATATTTTGGTTTATCTCTCTCTTTTATTTGATGTCGGAGTGGGAGGACATCCGATCCCAGCAAACCTCTCCTCAAACTAGAACCATACAACTTTGATCTCCCTTCAAGCTGCAATCCATTTTTTATTTGTTAACCATCTTGCACTATTGCTGTACCTTTCGTGGGACACGCTAGGTGACCTCTTGTGGTGAAGAATAATGGGGCATTGGTGCCTACTTTCCAAACCATACGAGTACTAGTGCTCATTTTAATTTTTCATTTTTTCGTTTTCCCTCTTTTTTCCTTTATTGTTTCATTTGTTTTTCGAAATAAAAAACAAAAAAACGTTTTAAAAACTTCAAAAAATGAGGAATAATATAAGAAATAAAATAAAACAAAAAACAAAAATGAATGTCCTTTTCTGACATCCCAATTCTAAGAATATTTTAGGCGTTCGAAAAATTCTTTTTTTTGTATAAGACTCTTTATGCATGTTTCAATTTTTTTTCCAAAACGTTGCACTCATACTCCCTATGATCATTTTTCAACTATTTTTCCGGCGAATAAGGAGACATTAACGCCTATTTTCCAAACTTTCAGGGGCACAAGTGTTCATTTTTTTATTTTTCGTTTAATTTTTGTTTTCCCCCTTTTTTCCTTTATTGTTTCTTTTATTTATGAAGGTTTTCTAAATTTATTTTTAAAGTTGTTTTTATAATGTTCTTAGAATTTAAAATTACTTCTGTTTGAAAAAAATAATTGACATATACTGTATGTGTACGTCTCAAACTAATGTCCGACCCTATTTATATAGAAAGAGGGTAAAGCAAATAAGTAAACTTTTATTTCTACCATAATTCTATTCTTATTAAAGATACTAAACCGTATATGTAACACCTAGAAATATACCATAAAAGTAATAATGAATTTCTAATAAAATATAATTTTAAATTTTGTTTAAATAAAATAAAATTTATAACAATGGCACTAACAATAAGTGATTTTGAAATTAATCTTTTCATGGTCAAATTTATACTTAAATTGAAGGTCTCAATGAGACGAATTCAACGATATAAAATACGAATATGACGTAAATATAATATTATCCAACGAATTTGGATTTTTGGATAGGTCTGAAGAAAAGGTGACCAACGTCATATTGTTTGTTAAGTTTGAAATTTTGTGTAAGACGTAATGGGTAAAATAGATGTTACACTTCAATAAATAAATATAAAGAATTTTTAAAAATACCACCTCCGTCTTCAATTTGATTACAATATTTTTTGTCTCTCCTCTCGATAACTTTCTTTTGCTTACGCGATTTCATTAAATATTTGATAAAATAAAATATTCTTGTCACCCTTTGTTTTTTGTAGAACTTTTGACGTAGTTTTTTAATATGCACGGAGTAATTTTTATCGATTTGTAAATAAAATAATTTTAAAGAGTAAAATATTTCTTCTCGTAAACTCCAATTTATAATCAAATTGGATATGGAGGGAGTATTAATAATAATTAAGATTTAGCATTCCTAAACCTACGTCTGGATTGGGAGATGTGCCTAAACCTACGTACACCTACGCAGAATCACTTCATCATCCTTCTTCATCGCCGATTCAACCAAGGGGAAGCTCACCTATACATTGTCATATAATTCATATGTTCAATTCAAATCCTCTATATAACAGAGACAGATGAGATTTTTAGAATAATAACAACAATAATAATAATAGTAATTCCTATTTGCCGTAGAAGTAGTGTTCGTTTTAGTAGTTTCCTTTATTATTGGTTCCTATGTGTGTTAGGAATCATGCCTATACCTATATATACGCCTTGTATATCATTATTACATTATTCATTCAAATAGGGATGTTGAATGCAATTGATATGATGAGGGGCGTTGATAGTTTGCCTGAGGAAATCCTAATGGAAGTGTTGGGCCGTTTGGTTCTGCTGGACGACATGGTCGTCTTCGGCGCCGTCTGCAAGTCTTGGCGTTCCGTCTCAGTCGCCGCCGCTCTTCACCACAAAATCCGCACCCCTCCCGCCGTCCCCTTCCTCCTCCTCCCCGAGGAACAACCACAACAACAACAACAAGAAACTGTAGAAGAAAAAGAACCAGAAGAACAGGAAGAAACAGATGAAGAATATGAAGAAGAAATAGAAACTGAAGAAGAAGAAGAAACAGAAGAAGATGATGAAGAATATGAAGAAGAAGAAACAGAAGAAGAAGATGAAGAAGAAAAACAAGAAGAAGAAACAGAAGAAGAAGAAGCAAAAGAAACAGAACCAGAAGAAGAAGAAAAAGGAACACAAGAAGAAGAAGAAGAAAAAGGAACAGAAACAGAAGCAGAAGAAAAAGGAGCAGCAGAAGAAGGCTGGGGTGTGCGTAAATCCTACTGCTTGGCTGAGAAAAGAATTTACCGCCTGAGAATGCCTCAAACAATGGGCAAGAAATGCTTCAGCATCGGATTCGGTTGGATGCTAACGATAGGCCTAGACTCGCAAATCCACATTGTGCATCTCTTACGCCGGGGGCGTCAAATAAGTCTCCCCCCTCCATCCTCCCTCCCCCAAAGATATGATCCCACCGCTTTCACACCCCACCAAATCCGATGCGGCACATTCAGAAAGGCCCTCGCATCCGCCGACCCTTATTTGTCTTCTCCTCGTTCATCATCCCCGTGCATCATCATGGCCATACACGGAGGCTTGTGGCATTTGGCTTTCACTAGGCCCGGGGCCCACGACGCCTGGACGGGCGTCGACTTGCCTACTCCCAGGAATTTCTTCATGGACGTCGTCTTCCACCGCCATAAGTTTTACGCCGTCACCCAAGCGGGACGCATCACCGTCTGCACCATCACCTACGACGACCGCGTGTCCGCTACAGACTTGGGGACGGAGTCGTCGAGTCACGTGGACGAGGTCTCGCAGAAGTACCTCGTCGAGTCGCGCGCGGGGGACTTGCTGCTCGTGTGCCGCATCTTAGACGTCGAGGCCTCGAACCGCAAGCGCGAGGACATCACGGACCGCTTCGAAGTTCTCAGGCTGGAAGAACGAGCCGCCGCGGATGGTGCGGGGCCCACAGACGACGACGACGGCAGCAGCAGCCGGCGCAAAAAGTACGAGTTCACGAGGGTCGACAGTCTGGGCGACCAGGCAATCTTTGTCGGGGACAACGCGTCGTTCTCCCTGACAGCGTCGTCCGCCAACGGGTGCAAGCCCAACTGCATCTATTTCACTCACGACGAGTTCCAGTTCGGCATTAAACCTATTGGATCGGACATGGGAGTGTATAATGTAGGAGACGGCACCATCGAACGGATTCCCGTCGTCCATTCCCTTTCCTCTTTTTGTCACCCACTTTGGTACATCTAGTCACTTTATGTTCATTTCAGTGCATTTCATAGCAATACAGATTCATAATCTGCACAGCAAATGGATTCACCCAAAGCATCAAGCATCAAGAGTGAATTAAGAACTCAAATAAGACCCTAACTTGTCAAAAGGAAACATGTGAATAAAGAACAGAATCTCAAATGCATGTCTCAAAAAAAAAACAACAAAGAAAGATCAAATGGATCTATATGTACTAGAACATGCCCCTTTCTCTTTTGTCAAACTTGAAAATGATGATATCCAGAAGTGAAAATACATGCTTAAATTGCAGCCCTTCTTTTTATCTTATTCAAGCCATATACAATAAGGTTTTCGATGCACCTGCAGAGAAGATTATTACTAATTAGTATGTTTAAAACGATGGAATTTCTTTTCTTGACCGAAGAAAAGCTACAATCAAAATAAGCTCAACCCATAAGCTTAACCAAATCACCTAGTACCCACTGCATTATTCCCCATGTATAGGTGGGAATTTCAATATACTTTAGCATTTTGAAAACGATATCTAATAGCAGTATTTAGGTTTAGTGAAGCAAGCCTGTGCTACGCACACTTGTAAGAAAAAAGTTTTGACAAGATAAATACATAATGCCCCCAATTAACTTGAAAAAATATACTAGATCATACTACAATCACACTACTTTGACACATCATTTGGCTAATAGATAAAGACAGACATGTTAGATGTACCAAATGCAATGGGCAGGAGAAGAAGATGAAAGAGAATGAAGGGAGTCAATCCCTTCAACCTTGCCGTCGCCAAGGTTGTATACGCCCATGTTCGAACCTATTGATTTGAGGCCAAAACATGGTTCGTTGTATGTGAAATAGATGCAGTTGGGTCTGCACCTGTTGGCAGCGGACGCCGTTATGGAGAGAGAACTGTTTTCCCCAACAAACAGCGCCTTGTCGCCCAAACTCTCCACCATCACAAACTTGAACTTGCGTCGGCGTCCAGCACCAACGCATTCTTCCTCCATCCTCACAACCTCAAAGTGATGCGTCCCCTGAGGGCGGCGACACACCACTACCAACTCTCCTCGTGACTCGAGAAGGTATGTTGGTGACACGCACCACCCCGGAACCAGCCCGAGTTCGGTGATGATTCCGTTGCCCTGGTCATCAATGGTGCAGGCACTGATTTGGCCGGACCGATCGATAGCGTAAAACTCATCCTTGTAAAAGATGACATCCAGTAAGCCACTAAGCAACTTGACATTCACCCAGCCCTTGTAGCCGGGTCTGGTGAAAGCCAAAACGCCTAACTGTGCCAATATGATCACGACGGTCCACGGTTGATCTATTCAAAAGCTCTCCAGCTTCAGAAGGCCGCCCTCCAAGACCATTAACATTCCAAGACATTAGGCAGCCAATCAACTTTTAAATATATCACACTAACTTTAATACAACATGTATTTCATATATAGATAAAGACAGACAGTTTTATATTGATTGTGATATACGTTTGGCTCGGAATCAGAGAGATATAGCAAAAGTTGAATCCACTGAATTGGCTTAGTTATTATGCTAGGTAGTCCAAATCTCAAAATGTGAGACCAAATAAGACCCACGACATGCAATTCTAATTGGACCGATATCCTCTAAACACGGAAAGTAATTCAGAAGACCACATTGATATGAAAATAACATCAATATGCTAGATGTACCACAGGGAATGGGGAGGATGAAAATAAGGAGAATGAAAGGAGCAAATCTCTTCAATGTTGTAGTCCCCCATGTTAAATATGCCAATGTCTGATGACTGAGGCGAGTCTTGCGTGAAATAGATGCAGTTGGACCTGCACCCATTCGCAGTGGACGCTGTTATGGAGAAAGAAGCGCTGTCCCCAACAAACAGCGCCTTGTCGCCCAAATCCTCCACTCTCACAAACTTGAACTTGCCTTGCACATCATCATTATACTTTGCTGCTCCTGCAACGTCATCTTCTTCTTCCATCCGGAGAACCTTAAAGGACCTTGTCACCATGTCACCCCGATGTTTTGTTTCTTTGCGATCATAAAGGCGAAACACCACTAACAGCTCTCCACATGATTCAACAAGGTATTTCTGTGAGCACGGCACCCAGCGTGCCCCTAATTTGGTGATAATTTGGTTACCCTCGCCGTCAATGCTGCAATTAACAATTTGGCCCCACTCGGTGATAGCATAAAATTTACCCTGGTAGAAGATGACATCCACGAAGTCAAAAAGGAGCGGGCCGACATCCACCCAAGCATTGTGAGTTGTGACCGGGTCTCATAAAAGCCAAAAGGCCAGACTGTTCACATATGACCATGATGATCCATGAAGATGAACTACTAGGGTCAGCTGATGCGACGGCCTTTCTGATTAGGCCGTGTTTGATTCCGATTCTGAACCTTTTGGGAAGGGATGGTTGAAGAGGAAAACTTATCTGACGCCGTTGTAGGAGATGCGCCATATCGATTCTGCCGCCGCCGCCGGTCAAGATCCAGCCGAATCCAATGCCGAAGAAGTTTTTGGCCACCATACTTTGAGGCGCCACCCGCATGCCGTAAATCCTGTCGTCCGCCAAGCTGCGGAACCGAAGTACGCCGCCGCCGTGTCTTCTTCTTCGGGGAGCATGATGAGGAAAGGAGTGCGGATTTTGCGGGGGAGAGCGGCGACTGCTACCGATCGCCATGACTTGCAGACGGCGCCGAAGACGACCATGTCGTCCAGTAGAGCCAAACGATGGAAAACTTCCATCGCAATTTCTTCCGGCAAACAATCAGCGCCCGCCATATTAATTACAGTACACTGAAAGTCGAAATTGAATATTGGAGTACTCCGTATATACGTAGATGGATGAATGAATGAA